GTGTGGGGACATGTTAAGGTTGGCACTTTCCACATGTTGTTTTCAGGTTTTCATTTTGGCCTTGCATTTGTGTGTTCAGGTCATTCAGATGTTGAAATATATCTGCCAGATATGCCAGCCTTGCACACCACTCGTCACTTGAGAGCAACCTCATCATACTTCTCATGTGCCAAAAATACTTTAAGTTCCTCCCGCAGCTAATACACACAAGCTAAAACTATGCCACGGGACAGCCACCAGACCACCACCAGTGGAGCAATAACACTTTATGTTGCAAGGTCCATTTCCTCACACAGTGATGCGAACATGTGACTTTTTACAGGTCTTGTCTTCACAAAGTTTATCATGTGCACAGCATCTTCCAGTACAGCAGCTAGGTCTGCCTGCAATGTCTTGGCAATGAGTGCTTCCCGGTGCAGAAAACAATATGTCGCAATGACATCCTGATGTTGGTCTTTCACTCTGTTTACAAATCCTTTGGTGTGCCCGAGCATGGTAGCTGCTCCATCGGTGCAAAGACTTATGCAGTTTTGCCACTTCAGTCCTCCTTGTTCAAGGTACTCTGACACAACTCCAAAAATTTCCTTTCCTGTTGTTCTTTCTGGCAATTCCTTGCAAAAGAGAAAGTTTTCTCTGATGATGTCTCTATCTACATAATGTACATTTACCATAAGTTGTGCATGTCCACTGATATCCGTAGATTCATCGAGTTGCACTGCAAGTTCCCCACTAATGCACAACTTTTCTAAAACTATCTTTTCAATGTCAGCAGACATGTCTTCAATATGTCTGGAAATTGTATTATTTGAGAGAGGGACTTGGGCTATTTCTTTAACAGCACCAGGGCTGAGCATCTTTTTTAAGATAATTTTACAGGCGGGCAGTATTAATGTCTCTGCTACTATTACTAAATACTATTACCCTATTTTTGTGTATTGTGGTTTTATTGCTTTGTTGCCTTTATGTAACTTTTTATCTTAAGACTAAGTATTATTTCTGGCCTTTGACTCCTTACCTGACTCCAAAGGAGAGCTGCACAAGAATTCCTATATGCCTAGACTGTCTGTTTATGCATAAATGGCAAATAAAAATCTTGACTTGACTTGACTTGACTTTAATCTCCCTCCCACCCTGAGAACACCATCTTGCAATAATGGGTCAAGGTGAAACAACTGATGACTATGAGGCAGCGCACCTTGACTCAGTAGTTGTATCTCATCTATAAAGGCATCCTTTTGTACTAATTTTACAAGCACAAGACTGGCTTTTCTTCTGTCTTTGACATTTATGGGTGCTGCCTTTTCTCTTTTTAATAGTTGCTGGATCTGAGCAATGACATTCAGTGCTGTGTTCCATTTTGAGAACCATTTAAACCTTTCCAAAAAGCTGTCCTCTTCTACTACTGTTTGCAATACCTGTGTTGTTTTGACTTCAGGATTGTCCACCAGAAGCTCTGGGGTGGATTTTGATGTGACAGTCTCTCTCTCACACAGGAACTTGGGCCCAGTAAGCCAGTTTGAAGTGAAGTCAAGTCAAGAATCTTTATTGTCATTATACATAGCACAACAATATTTTTTCTGGCAGTTCTTGGCTTAAAAGACACATTATTTACATAACACAAAATTGTGTAAGTCAATATAAAAATATAAACAAATGTCCGGTGTCCTGTCTGTGTCTTGTCTGTGTCTGTCCATAGTTCGCGTCTATGTGTGTCACTGAGGGTTAGGGGTGTGATTGATTTCACAGCTCTGGGGAAGAAGCTGTGTCTCAGTCTGTTTGTTTTAGTCTTTATATTCCTGTACCTTTTCCTGGAGGGAAGAGGTACAAACAGACTGTTGCCTGGGTGGGTGGGGTCTGCAGCAATCCGTCTGGCCCTCCTCTGGATCCGGTCAGCGTATAGTGAGTCCAGATCCAGAAGAGGACTCCCTACAATGCCCAGAGTTGTTCTCACCACCCAGGTCAAGTCCTTTCTGTCCTGTGCAGTGCAGCTCCCATACCACACTGTCACACTGAGACAGAGGATGCTCTCTATTGTCGCTTTGTAGAAGTTTGAGAGCAGCTGAGAGGAGAGACCAGCACGTTTCAGCTTCCTGAGGAAGAAAAGCCTTTGCTGGGCTTTCTTCACCAGGTAGGATGTGTTCAGAGACCAGGTCAGGTCAGATGTGATGTGGATGCCCAGGAACTTGGTGTTATCCACTTGCTCCACCACCTCCCCATGTATGAGAAGAGTATGAATAGAATAGAAATTTATTGTCATTGCACAACAAAGTACAACAAAACTGTGAATGCACCCCAGCAACAGTTCACGATACAAGATAAACAAGAGCACAAGAAATAAAAATAAATTAAAATGCCCACATGTCCAAATACACAGTTTAGAAAACAAATACAATATTTACAAAATATCTACACATCTAATGCCAACTGTATGCCTTTACCATATAAAATGCACAATAAAATTGCACAGTAATATTGCACATCTGAAAAAGGTAGTGTTTAGTGTTTATTTGCAATTCAAATGGCCCAGGGAAAGAAACTATTAGTGTGGTGGTATAGGATTTGATTGACCTGAAGCGCCATCCAGACAGCAGCAGGTCAAAAAGATGATGAGCAGGGTGTGAGGGGTCTCCTGTGATGGCCTTGATTCTGCTGAGACAGCGGGACCTAGCTATGTTGTCAAAAGAGGGCAAAGGACAGCCGATGATTTTTTTGTGTTGTATTTATCACCCTCTGTACAGTTTTCCTGTCCTCAACTGTGGAGCCCGCATACCACTTACCCAAACAGTACGTGAGAACGCTCTCCACAGAGGCATGATAGAAAGCCAGTAACAACTTCTTGTCCAAGTTGGTTTTCCTGAGGACCTGCAAGAAATGCAGCCGCTGCTGAGCTTTCTTCACTATAGCCTTGATGTTAGGGGACCAGGAGATATGCTTTGTCTTCCTGGACCTCCTATAATCCACAATGACTTCCTTAGTCTTGCTGGTGATCAGGACACGATTGTTATCTGAACACCACCTTGTCAGGTGCTGGATCTCCTCTCTGTAGTGAGTCTCATCATTGTCTGAGATGAGACCCACTATGGTGGTGTTGTCTTCAAACTTCACTACTGTGTTTGCACGTAACAGTCATGGGTAAACAGAGTGAAGAGAACTGGACTGAACACACAGCCCTTCATACAGGGCTGTGTGTTCAGGACCAGTGTAGATGATGTCAGCTTCCGATTCTCACCACTTGAGGCCTGTTAGTAAGAAAGTCTTTAATCCAATGACATATAATTGCAGTCATTCCCAAATTGTACACTTTCAGTGCCAGTTTGTCTGGGATTAATGATAAGGATAGAATAATCACCTTTATTGGCCAAGTATGTTACATACAAGGAATTTTGTTTCCGGTACCGATAGCAGCCATCTGCGGCACCACCTCAACTAACAGCTCTAACCAACAGGGGGGTTCAGTGTCTTGCCCAAGGACACTTTGACACATGGACTGCCGGCACCAAGATTTGAACCTTCAACCTTCTGGTTGGGAGACAACTGCTCTACCCACCGCACCACTGTCGCCTCCCCATTTATAGTGTTAAATGCCAAACTGAAGTCAACAAATAGCTCCAGGTGGGACAGGGCTGTGTGTAGTGCTATTAATACAGCATCCTCTGTTGATTGGTTCTCTTTAGGTAAACTGATGGTTGTTCAGACCAACAGGGATGACATCCTTGATGTGCTTTAGGACGATCATCTCAAAGCACTTCATGATTATTGGTGTCAGGGCAACAGGGTGGTAATCTTTGAGGCAGGTGACCGCTGATTTCTTGGGCACAGGCACAATGATGGAGTACTTGAGGTACACAGGGAATGAAGCAAGATGCAGGGACAGGTTAAAAATGTCCGGAAAAACTCCTGCCAGTTGGTCAGCACATAGCTTCAAAACCCGGCCTGACACCCTGTCTGGTCCTGTGGCTTTGTTGGTGTCGATCCTCCTTAGGGTGGAGCTCACCTGGTGTACCTGCAGGACAAGAGGCTGGTGCTGTTCCTCAAGCTGAGGGAGTTGTACCATTATATTGTGCTTGCAAGTAGACACTTAACTATAAACCATTTATACTTTTAAATTTTGAAGATGGTTGGCTATTGGTTTCCATTCATTCCTGTGCAAAATAAAAATCAGTTAGCAGTTTCTGGGAACTTTGCAGTCCCTGCTTAGTACCTTAACCCTTAAGAAACCAGGGTGTCCGTAGGTTGATTTTAAAAAATAGGCTCCACATTACTTCACAACAGCCAGTTCTATCATATGTAAAAGAATAGAAACTAAGCAACACATAGAACAGGAACAGGATGTATCCAGATTTGTAAAGCACAGCACCATAGTTTGAAAAATGGATATTTGGTGTTCAGTACTGTATTTTTTGCAATACATAGAATAAAACAGGCAAAGAAAAATCCCTGATAAGGTCATTTAACATAAGGTGTCAAGATGGGTACTGGTGGAGGAGAGGTGAAGCTGAGGCAGAGCAGGTACTGGCTGGGGAACCAGGACCCACTGTGGATGCAGGCAGCTGGTGAGGCAGAACCCACAGTTTAGGCAGGTGGCTGGAGAGACAGGACACATCGTGGATACCAATCACTGCAGTGGCAGATAGGTAGGTGGAGGACGAAGACACAGGCTGAGCACAGGATCTGTGACACAACTGGTAGGAAGGCAGTTAGCAAATGTGCAGGTTTGGGAGAGAGCCAGAATCAAGAACTGAGAACACGGGAGCATGAGTGATGAATCAGCAGGGAGCTCACGGAAAAGGGGTGTATATACAGTATGAGACTGAACCAGGAAATAATGAGCAGCAGGCATTTGTAATAATGGCTGCTTGCGCTGGCTAGGCTGACGTGACAGGCAGGGAGAGATGGGGAAAAGCAACAGGAAACAGGAAGCATAAGATTGAACTGTAACATAAGGTAAGGACATTTCTCATTGCACCTTAATCCTAATTAATAATTCCCTTTTGTGACAGGTGTGTGATCATACTAAAATGACTGTACTCGGGACAAAGAAGACGTACATCCTTCTCTCCTTCCTCTGTGTTTTACTCCTGTGCCTTTTCAATGTATGGCTGAGAGGATTCCAGGTTCTGACCATGATAAATCCCTTTGCCATTTATGACAACAGCAGCAATAGAAATGTGACCATACTGCTGTGGTACCGGCCCTTCAACACACCAATGAGCCTGGAGGGTGACGTGTGCTGGGACTTGTACCACATCCCTCGCTGTAGACTGGTGGACCAGCACTTTTTGTTCCCCTCAGCTGATGTAGTGGTGTTCCACAACAGAGAGCTGATAAACGGCCAGCAGAAGCTGCCCTTAGACCTTCCACGGCCACAGGGCCAGAGATGGGCCTGGATGTCCATGGAGTCCCCTGCTCATAATGGAAACTTGCAGCAGTATGCCAATATCTTCAACATGACCATAAGCTACAGGAGGGATGCTGATATCACAGTACCATATGGTGAGCTGCTACCAATAGAGGCTGGAGGACATCTGGAGGAAGATGTCCCTCTGAATAAGAGCACTCTGGTTTGCTGGGTGGTCAGCAACTTCCAGAACTACCACAAGAGAAGTCAAGTGTACAAAGAACTCAATGCTGTAGTTCCTGTGAAGGTTTATGGGAGGTGGTCAGGGACACCCCTCTCTGATGAAGTTCTCTTACCTACAATCTCTCAGTGCTACTTCTATTTAGCCTTTGAGAATTCAATTGCTAAAGATTATATCACAGAGAAGCTGTGGTGGAATTCTTACAAAGGCGGGGCAGTACCTGTCGTCTTGGGGCCACCGATCAGTGATTACAAAGATGTGGCTCCACCCAACTCTTTCATCCATGTTGATGAATTTGCATCAGTGCATGTTTTGGGAAAGTTTCTACAGAAGCTGGCAGAGGACAAGGAAACCTACAATGAATATTTTTCCTGGAAACAACAGTGGAAAGTGAAAATGTTCTCAGACTGGAGAGAAAACCTGTGTAAGATCTGCGTACAGTACAACAGTTTACCTCAGCACAAGGTTTACTCAGATCTAGAGGCCTGGGACAAGAATAATAACACAACTTTCATTGGAAAATTGTGAATTGTACCACATTTCTCCCATTTGTGCACACCATGTTTTAATTTTCTGTGTCAGGAACTATTTATTTTTCATTATTGCATAATTTGTGATGCATTTTTCATGTTGTTGCTAGGCCAACAATTAAAATGAGAAATAAAATAATCAACAAATTGACAGAAAATAGATGAAATGGTGGTAGAAAATCAGGGACAAAGCCATTTTTATTGCAGAAAATCTAGTGAATCACATTCCTGAGACTCAGGAAACTGTCCAAGAACACTGTGGAAGCTATACACACAGTATATATGCAAACAGCCAGCACAACTACCATACTTTAACTACTTCATAAAAGAACAAGGACCACTGATGCAAGTCCCCATCACTTCATACAAAACACTTGACTCACAGGGTTGAAACAATAGTTTGACATTTTGGAAAATGTTCTTTTTGCTTTCTTGCTGAGCTAGATAAAACTGATGCCACCCTGCTGTCTGCACAATGAATAGAGTTTCAACCAGCAGTCAAGCAAACAAGTGTTCTTCCCAAATGTTGAACTAGTCCTTTAAATCTAAACTGAAACAAATGCTACATTTGGTTCCATCTTCAATTGTTAGTGTGGGAGATAATCAACTGTAAATCAGACATATCCTATAAATACATTATTTTAATAATGTTGTACCATTAAAAAAAGCAGGCAAGGTGTTAATGTGTTGATACTTGTAAGGTTGTATTTGATTAATTTTTCTGTCATTTGCTTTGAAAATGTCCAAGACTATCATTGCACATTTGGTCTGTTAAAATGTTTTGTGTTTCTCTTTCCTAATTAAAAAAACCATTTGCTTCAGAAATAAATTGTCATATTGTCTTACTGCAGGGATGATCAACTTCCACAAACCTACATAAAACTAGACAAATGCATTTCCTGTCAAAAATGCATGTGGATGCTGCATGCTGAATGTTCGCCTTGAAAATGTTGAAATAGCTGAAATCCATTGCACCCTCAAAATGCTGGAATTTGGAGTTGAACATCATTATCAGAAGAAGGTGAGAGCTTGAAAGCATTCCTAAAACAGTGGAAGGCGTAATCCCAAAGACATGGCCCAAAGTTGTAAGAGAATAAATAATTTACATATACTGTATTTTGAAGGCAGACCAACCTGTGTGTGTGTGTGTGTGTGTGTGTGTGTGTGTGTGTGTGTGTGTGTGTGTGTGTGTGTGTGTGT